CTTCCACAGCATGGCCACCGACGAGTGGTGTAGGTCCGTGCCAGTGAACTGAACCTGGGCCGCCGAAGCGGAGTGTGTGGAACTTAACCACTAGGCCTCAGGGCTGGCCCCCCAAAAATACAATTTTTAAAAATATCCTTTCAGCTTTGTAAATAGAAGTGCATCAAATCTGAGAAAGGCTTATTAGCAAATCTGATGTGGTGGGTTTCAGAAGAGAAAGAGGAGTACCAAGATGCTCTGCCCTGAACCAGGTAGGTGGGAACCACTGGTGTCTTTTGCCTACAAAAGGCGAGTTAACACACTGGAATGTAAGGTAACCCTTTTAGTAGCTAACTTCAAAACCCAATCCAGGTTTTCTTTCAGCCATCAAATCTGTCAACTTCTTTCTGAGAAGAAACTCTGAATGTTTTAATGTAGTATTTTAAGAAGTGCATTCTAGTAGCATTGCTCACTAAGAGTACCATCTTCACCATCAAAGGCAGTAATATTGCTAAAAATGTTATTACACTTCTTAAACAATTGAGAATGAGGCTGGCTACAGTCAAGTGTCACTTGATGGGGATACGTTCTAAGAGATGCATCATTAGACGATTTTGTGGTTGTGCGAACATCAGAGTGTACTCACACAAACCTAGATGGCACAGCCTACTACACACCTAGGCTACATGGTACTAATCTCACGGACCACGTGGTCTGTCATTGACCGAAACATCATTATGTGGCACATGACTGTACATAAACCTCAATATTCATGCTCACTTGATCACCCACACCTGGCTACTCCAATCAAGTCACCTCTTTGAAAGCCATGCTTTGCACAGCTGTCATCTGCTCAGACTCGTTAGTCCTATCTATAGTCTCCCATGAACACTGACTTTATCTCAAAGCGTTACCCATAGATCTTATTTCCCAACGAACTATTTTCTCAGTGTTCTTGTAAAATGAGGTTTCCTTCCCTTCCTCTGACTACTGCTATGGTAAGGAGACTATTAGGAGTGCTGCATCTCATGCTGTATTTCTTATGTATACTCTATTTCTGATCTGACAGAAGCTGCCTGGAAAAGTCTGGATCCAGTTCAGTTACTCTCCTCCTTGATTATGCATCACTCCTAGAGTGATGAGGGAGAAACAGCGCCGTTTTTGTTTTGGATTGTAGTTTTCTTACAAGGCACATTTAAAAACTACCTGTTTTATCTTCTTTGTCCGTCCCTACATCTAGAATACATAATTTTCAATCAGATATTAAGAGCAAATATAATTTCAAAAGAAACAAAAACCAAACATCTTCACCATGAGAAGAGCTAGCATTTAAAAAACTACCTCGGAAATTAGAAAATAAGATCATTACTCGACTTGCCAGCTACAGTTATACCTAAGAAAAACTAAGTTTAAGGGACCAAAGCTGAGGGAGGCGTGATTCTTTTAAACAAAAACTAGGAGTTACATTTCTGTCCTCTGGCCCTTAGTCTGCTTCTTCTCTTGATTATTATTTTATTTTAGCTTCACTGAGCTACAAATTGACAAAACTGTAAGGTATTTGATTACTGTTATTTTAAATTTTAAATGTCTCTAGGAAAAACTTAGAAAAGTTTAATAAAATTATCTATAAGCAAATCTGAAACCTAAGAATTTTTTTTTTTTACAAGAAAAAGTAGTGGAGAGGGCACAGAGAATGGGGGGAGACAGGAACTTTTCTTTTTTTAATTTAGAAGACAATGAACCTTCTAGATCACCTTCAAACCTCAAGGATATGTGATAAGCACTATCTTAACTCAGAGAAGTCAAATGAAGATGAAGGACAAAAAGAAGGATAAACTCAGGAAAATCAAGAAATACTAGTATTTTGCTCACCTCAAAATACCTTAAAGAAGTGCTAAGTGGTGTTTCTCTAGCAGATAAGTAAAGGAAAAGAGAGGACTAATTCTGTGAACTTTTTTCCTGGCAGATTCATTACTTAATTCAACATATACTTATTGAGAGACCACTGTGGGCCTAGCACTGGGGGTAGTTAAGGCCCGGGAGGTTTGGGTAGGGTGGAGTTGAAGGGGGAGGAACAGTTCAAGGAAGCCCTCAGACGCCGGAAAAGCACACCAGAAGGGCCTGTGTTGAAAGAAATCTCACAGCCAACTGGAGACTCAAACAGGTTTCTAAATTTCACTCCAGTGATACAGTTATAATTACACTCCAATGATACAGTTGTATAATTAAAATTACACTTACACTTGAGTGTCAGTTGCTATAATGAGATGGGAGTAGTACTAAAAAAATTTTTTTTCTCCTAGAAGAAAATATAGGCAGTAAACTCTTTGACATCAGTCTTAGCAGCCTCTTTTTGAATACCATGTCTACTGAGGCATGGGAAACAAAAGAAACAATAAACAAATGGGATTACATCAGACTAAACAACCTCTGCAAGGAAAAGGAAACCAGGAACAAAATGAAAAGACACCCTACCAACTGGGAGAAAATATTTGCAAAGCATATATCCAACAAGGGGTTAATCTCCAAAATATATAAAGAACTCATACAACTCAACGACAAAAAAACAAACAACCCAATCAAAAAACGGGCAAAAGATAGGTAAAGACATTTTTCCAAAGAAGATATACAGATGGCCAACAGGCACATGAAAAGATGTTCAACATCACTCATCATTAGGGAAATGCAAATCAAAACTACAGTGAGATACCACCTTACACCTAGTCAGAATGGCTATAATGACCAAGACAAAAAATAACAAATGTTGGAGAGGATGTGGAGAAAGGGGAACCCTCATACACTGCTGGTAGGAATGCAAACTGGTGCAGCCACTATGGAAAACAGTATGGAGATTTCTCAAAAAATAAAAAACAGAAATACCATACGACCCAGCTATCCCACTACTGGGTATTTATCCAAAGAACTTGAAATCAACAATTCAAAGAGACTTACCCACCCCTATGTTCACTGCAGCATTATTCACTGTAGCCAAGACGTGGAAGCAACCCAAGCGTCCATCAACTGATGAATGGATAAAGAAGATGTGGTATATATACACAATGGAATACTACTCAGCCATAAAAAAAGACAAAATTGTCACATTTGCAACAACATGGATGGATCTTGAGGGTATTATGTTAAGCAAAATAAGCCAGACAGAGAAAGACAAACACTGTATGATTTCACTCATATGTGGAAGATAAACAAACACATGGATAAAGAGAACAGGTTAGTGGTTACCAGAGGGGAAGGGGGTTGGGGGGGGCGGGCAAAAGGGGTAAACGGGCACACATATGGTGACAGATAAAAATTAGACTATTGGTGGTGAGCACGATGCAGTCTATAAAGAAACTGATAGATAACAATGTACACCAGAAATTTCACAATGTTATAAACCCTTATGACCTCAATAAAAAAATTTTTTTTAAATTTTTTCTTAAGGGAACCGAAAGAGAATGGGAGAGGAGAAGACGGCAGGAGAGAAGTATGAAGTGGTTAACAGACCCTTTCCTTCCCCAGTCTCACCTCAGGCTCTCTCCCTCCATGTCTGTTCATAGGACTGAGGAAGGACCTCTAAAACCTAACCCTGTTACTCAACCCGTTCATTGTTAAATGAAATTTTGCTTGAATGTCCGCTCCTCTTCCATATAACTCAGGGGTAATTCTAAGCCATTGGAGGCAATCCTATTCTTCTTTTATTCTTCCAGCCAATGAAGATCCACTGAAGGTCTACTCTGTGCCTATTCCTCTAGGCACTGTAAATCCTGTTCTCAGGTCTTGTTGGAGAAGAGACGTATGGCCCAATCCTGGACAAAGAGAACTGAGAGCAAGTGTGCTGGAGGGTTTCCAGAAAACATTTCTTGACTCTTAAAAAGATACACTGGAAGAAACGATCTTTTCTTCTGCTGGACATTGTCCATGACCATATGTCCAGCACTGTAGTAAGCGACCTCAAGATCATTAGGGCAGTGAGGCACAGGCTGGGACCAACACGCTGAAGATGGCAGAGCAGAAGGAGGTAAAGAAACTGGGTCTTCACCTGTCTCTAAGCTGCTGAATTAGCCACCCCCGGAACCAGTCTATCTCAGAACTTCTTGTAATATAAGAAAGTAAACAATTTCCTGGGCCAGCCCCGTGCCTTAGCGGTTAAGTGCTCGCGCTCCACTGCTGGCGGCCCGGGTTTGGATCCCGGGTGTGCACTGACGCACCACTTCTCTGCATGGCCGCGTCCCATATACAGCAACTAGAAGGATATGCAACTATGACATACAACTATCTACTGGGGCTTTGGGGGAAAAATAAATAAAATAAATTATTAAAAAAAAAACAAAACAATTTCCTTATTCTTCAAGCTATTGTAAATAGATTTCCTATTACTTGTGGCCAAAAGTATTCTGTTACAAAACCCTATGGAGAAAGTCAAGGGCTTTCTTTGTTATTTAGACTCTCTATAGAAAGAATCACAGGGCCCTCTTCCCACAGAGTTGACCAATTCTACCACATAGATAGCAGACATGAACTCACACATGCGAGACACACAGACACAATCAAGTTTAGACCTGTACTCAAACATGCAGGGCAGCCTTTACTAGGTCAAGGATAAATGCATTTGAAGTTGCCAAAGCAGAACCATTCTGGGAATGCCATCCACTGAAGGCACTGCCCCAAAACTGCCTTTCAAGGAGAAGACAAATTTGGGGCTCTGTGTGCTCATTCATTTTCATTCCCTAATCTGAGGATATGTGCCGAGGCGGGGAGGAGAGGAAATAAGGGGACAAGGCTGGAGCAAGACGAGGCACGCACAGTCCACTCAGAGAAGCAGCCACCCAGCGCTGCGGCTCCTGGAAAGGCCCGAGGTCTAAAAGCCAGCTCTGGGCGGGGACAGACACATGGCTTGGGAGCACCCTTTCCCAGTGGCTCTGCCAGCTCCCCCATCATCTCTATGGCATCTCCCAAAGCCACTCCTAATTTAAAAATATTCAATAATAACACTCTTTAATGTGGAAAACCTGTAGTTTTACTGATCTTATGTAAAGTGTAAGTAAATGGACCTTTAGAAAACAAGGTGGGGCCGGCCCCGTGGCTTAGCGGTTGAGTGCGTGCGCTCCACTGCTGGCGGCCCGGGGTTCGAATCCCGGGCGCGCACCAACGCACCGCTTCTCCAGCCAGGCTGAGGCCGCGTCCCACATACAGCAACTAGAGGGATGTGCAACTATGACATACAACTATCTACTGGGGCTTTGGGGGGAAAAATAAATAAATTAAATAAATTTAAAAAAAAAGAAAACAAGGTGGATACAACGTGTTTGTTTTGTACCCACAGCTTCAAGAGGATATCTCCAAGTACTCACTTCCCCAATGTCCTAATTCTTCTTGCATAGGATATCGAAGCCATTGTCCTTGCCTGTATCTATCTGAAACCTTGTTTTTGGCAAGTCCTGCCTACAGATGAGCAGTGTGTGTGCACACACACACAGGTGGCAGGGAAGGATAAGGCAGGACAAGAGTAGAAAAAGGAGAATATAGGAAGGTTCAGATCAATCTGCTAGCTCCTGCTGATCACGGACGACATTTGGGCAGCAGAGGAGCAGGCGCACAACCACCACCGGCCTTCTGCAGGATCTGAAGCACACTAGGTACAGGCCAACCAAGACCCTAAGGTTGTGCTCCTGGGAAAAAGAAAAGCCAAGACTGAGAGAGAAGAAGAGAAGAAGAAGGAGACAGAAACATATGGGAAGACAGGGATAAAACACCTCACAGTGGACCTAATATGAGAAATGACCAAAGCACCGCCCGGGAGCCAGGGCCCTAACACAGGCTGACATCAGAGAGCCAGGGGACCTCTGGTGGATGACGGACGACCATGGCTCAGCTTTCTCAGCTGTAAACCAAGCAGACTAAACTAGAGGAGCCCTCCGGATCCTTCCCCCTTTGTACGCATCACCAAGTCCACACAGCCAGGATCAGAGAAGCAGAACGCAAACTTAACTTTTATCTTTCCAAAAGGAAAACAACAGCACAGTCCCACCAGGAGAGGCTGAGCAGGTTAAGTGGACTTGGAAGATTAGAGGACATCATTAGAGTGCAGAGGAAAAACCAGCAGAAGTCACAGAAAATGTTACATACAGTGAATTTAATCCCCCAACCTTCAGGGCCTTTGGTACCCTAAGAGAAACATCTGCTAGTGAAGTCTCAACACCCAGCTCCTGCCAAAGCTTCACTGAAGGGATGGCTGTAAAATCATGGCTATTGAGAGACTAATCTTTGAGAATCCTCAGGCTTCCAAAATGGCTTCTGGACTCAGAAATAGCAAATTAAAAAAAACAAAAAACAAAAAAAAGCAAAAAAGACACCTACAAAGCCGTGAAGAAGTAGCCCTTGAGAACTAGGCAACAAATTAACACACAGCCAAGGAAAGCTGGAGACTTGAAGAACAGACCTAATACTTTTGGACTGATGTTTCCTGAGCACATACTCTGCTCTCATTGATTAAAAAACACCCCAAACAAATAAACAACAAAACAAAAACAAGGCAGAACAAGATCGAGAGATATGAAAGAAAAAGGAATCTCTGGGTAGACAGTGTCAGAATTGAGTTGAACTGTAGGACACCAGCTGCTGTCTGAGAATTGCTTGTTAGTGGGGGACCCCGCCACCCCCAAAACACACACACGTTGGAATTGGTATTACCACGGTACATTTCCAGGTAGCAATTAGTAACATTCATAACGAACCTCTTAGATTACACATTACATTTACTGAATAGATGAGAGAACAGAGAAAAACACATCTTAAAGCATGATATTTAAAACCTGAGCAGGGCCCATGGAGGATAACTCATAAGACTGAAACAGTTTCAAAATATCTTAAGTATAAAAGAAATAGGATATAAAAAGTGAGTATTTAGAAATGGTTACAGAGAACGAATAGAGAATATTCTAGGGAGAAAGTACTGAAGGAGAATAAGAAAAAATAAAGCAACTTGTAGGGGACAATTCAGAGGAAGGGATGAATCTTAAGTAGGGCAGAACACCAAACCAGTTTCTAAACAAAGGTTTTACCTCACTCTATAATTACAATGGGAGGTAAAGTTCACAGTAATAATTGTCCTCTTTACCTGATGATAAAAACTCAAACCCCAAATACATAATCAGCAAGGTTACTGTGATAAAAGATCACCTAGGACAACAAATTATTTAAGTAACACTCACGACAGCATTGACCCTGTCCTTAGCAAAAAGGAGTAACTGAGTAATAATTGTATTTTATGACTCAGCTGATAACAACAAAAATAGCAACAACAAGAACAACAGCTGACATTTATTGAGAACTTACAATTTGTCAGTCACTATTCAGAGAATTTAACACGTATTTATTTAGTTAACCCTTACAACAGTACCTACCTGTTACCTCCATTTTATAGCAAGAAAGGGAAGCACTCGGGAAGAGGTGAGGGGACCTCCCCAGGGCCACCGAGCTAGGAAGCGGCAGAATGGGCAACCTGCCTCCAGAGCCTGTGCCCCTAACCACCACACAAAACTCAAATTATTTTTTTATTCCACTTTCTAATTTCATCTTCTAGATGACATGCATCTCAAAAACACCTAAAGGGCACAATGCACAGGAGAAATGTGATAAAGCATTACATCACTTACCATTGGGGAAAGCTAACACACTGATGATAAGAAAGAAGAAAATAACAGAGAGGATACCCCTCCAGATGTTGTCTTCTGGGACAGAGTCATCCCTGCAAACAGAAAGAGAACATTGAGCATTCAATGTATTTTCAGATCCAAATAGTCAACCTAGAAGGAGTAAGAGTTCCATGTTCTAAAAACTGGGGGACTGCTAACTTTATTTTGCTAAGCAAAGTCATTACACACACTACTTACTATTCACTTTCATTTCCTAAAATAATACAATCTCATACAAAGTCCAGTTCTTATAAGAAAGGCCATTGGCAACCTTACACACCAACACACATTTTACTCAGACAAGCATTTGAGAATCACTGTTCTTTTTTTTTTTTTTAATTTTTATTTATTTATTTATTTTCCCCCCAAAGCCCCAGTAGATAGTTGTATGTCATAGCTGCACATCCTTCTAGTTGCTGTATGTGGGACACGGCCTCAGCATGGCCAGAGAAGCAGTGCGTCGGTGCGCGCCCAGGATCCGAACCCGGGCCACCAGCAGCGGAGCGCGCTCACTTAACCGCTAAGCCACAGGGTCGGCCTGAGAATTACTATTCTTTTTTAAACAAATACCCAAGATGTCAAAGGGTAAGGTTTATGTTGGAGAAATGCCTTCTGGTTTTAGGAATAACTAAAGATGACCTTCATGATATAGACTGTGGTAAAGAAATTTTTCAAGCATCAGAAAGAAAGCATAAGATTATAAAGAAGAAGGGCGTAATGCAATGAGATTATATAATCAATTCTTAAAAATGGGCAGCTGGCTATCTAAGGGATGAATGATGGGTGATAAGAAAGATTAATAAAACATGTTAAAAGCAAAATCAAGAGAAAACAAAAGACAAGATTTAAAATCACACCAGAAGCAAAAGAATGGTAAAGAAAGCAGATGAGCTTCCTCCCTCTTGTGCCTGGTCATTTCTAATTTATTACTGCATTTATCTCCTCCATAACCAAAACGTAACCGAAATAATTCCACCTGTTGGTTTACATGTTACCTATCTTCCCTGTAGAAAGTCAAGTCCTGAGGCAGGGAATTATTCACTCATTGCATCCTCAGAGCCTGGCACGTAGTAGGCACTCAACAGATACCTGTGGACTGATTATTGATTAGGGAGAAAATTTATTGTGTAAAACCAAGTAAAATTTCCTAAATGGAAATTTTATTAACATTGATGGTGGAGAAGAATTAGGTTTTGACAGTTTACAAAAAAAAAGAAGAGTCTAGTAACATATCCAGGGCTCGAGAGAAGCAAACGAAAGAGGGAAAACAGAAACATAAGACTAAGATTTTCTGAATTATTGATAATTATTGAGAAGCTTGGAGAGGGAAGTTTGATGTTTCAGTTTAAAAAGATGCAGGATGAGCAAACAGAAAATAAGAGACGGAACAGAATGGAAGGAGGTATTTTAGAGATAATGAGACTATTAGCAATAAACTTAAAAGTGATAAAAAAAAGTTCAGTTTACCTAGGAAAGGACTGCAGTGAAAGAGCTTTCAAAAGACAAATATTAAATTAAGGTTAAACATTACTGAAGGAAAATAAAGAGGTCAAAAAAATCTTAGAAGAAAACTAAGTCTGCATAGAAAAAAAAATCTAGAGCACCAGAATACAGGAAGAGGTGCGGAATGAAGCAATAACGAATTCCCTAGTTAAGGACTAGGTCCTGGGGTGGTGTTGGTTTAAAAACAGAAGTTAATTTAGATATCAACTTCTGTCTAGGCTGCGAAGTTTCTGCACCCAATTAAATAATTTCCATACTTATGACAGGATTGAGCATAAGGTTCTGAAATAAGAGATCATACAGATCCTAAACGTTTCTTAGATCATCAAATGGACAAACAGCATTAACACCAAGGATGGACAAACAATGCTTGCCTGTTAACTTTCTAAATCTGATTACAAAACCAAACGACAAAATCAGACAGACTTCCTCTTGCAGCAAAGTGCAATCTTATTTTAATGGACACCCTAACAATTTCACATCTGCCCAGAAGTTATGAACACGGCCCTAAAAATGCCAGCCTGATCATTACTAGGAAACTTGCGATGCCTTTTGGCCTAGGCAGGGAAGCCCCATATCCAATTTCCAGGAACACCAGCTTTTGCTGAAGAATGGCTACACGCAGGGAGGGGTGGCACACAATGTCCTCACTCAGACCAACATCACACTACTGATATTGGTAATGATGATGACAATAATAATAGCCCCTGTTTATCAAGTATCTACTGTGTGCCAGGCACTGAACAGGCAGTTTATAAACATTATCTTTAATTGTCACAACCCATTTGCAAAACGGGGTATTCTCAACCACATTTTACAAATGAGGTACAAAGGCTCAGAAAGGTTATGTAACTTGCCCAAGGCTGCGTAGGTATGAAGTTGCAGGGTCGGCATTCAAAACCAGGCCTGCTACCCTCTGAAGATGATGATCCAATTTCCCCTATGCCGAACTGCCTCTTGAAAAAATTATCTGTCATCCGAAATCAATTGGACTCATGTTGGTGCACAGGGATGGTATAAGAGAATTTGACAGGGCACACAATTTCTAAGTTACAAAATAAAAGCAAGGCTGAAATGAATAACTGTTGCCTGGGAAAAGAGATGATTCCATAACTCATACCTTATACCGAAATATATTCTGGATGATTCAAAGAATTAAAAGTTAAAAAAAAAAATTCTAGAAGAAATGATGGGAGAAAACCAAAAATATAACACAACAATCTTAGAGTGGGGAAGACCTTTCTAACGTATGACACAAAACCCAGAAGTCATAAAAGAAAAAAATGATAAATCTGCACAGCAAAGAAATCAGTAACAAAATCAAAGGAAAAGTGATAAACTCTGAAAAAGTATTTGCAGCTCATATCAAGGCAAAGGGTACGTTCCCTAACATACAAAGTACTCTCCCCCCATCCCCCACCCCCGCCAAAAGTAAATTAACTGAAAGAACAACAAATGGACAAAGAAAAACAAATAGAAAAATGGGCAAAGGATATGAAGAGACGGTTCACAGAATGGGAAATCCAATGGTTCTCAGGCAAGTGAAAAGATGCTCAACCTTGCTCGTGGTAAGAGATGGACAAATTAACACTGAGAGACCATTTTTTTATCTGCCTTATGGACAAACGTAAAAATTGAATGACTGAGCTGGTGAGGATATGAAGAAATAGATAAACAGACACCCTCACATACTGCTGGTGGTAGTATAAATTTAAACCACTTTTATGGAGGGCAAGTTGACAACATATTAAATTTACAAATGCATATACCTTGTGACAGTAATTCCATGTATAGGAATTTATCCCATAGATATAACCCCCCCTTATACAAAAAAGGCATGTCCAAGGTTGTTCACTGTGGCATTATACGTATTAGCAAAAGACTGGAAACAAGCTAAATGTCCATTGAAAGGGGACTGATTAAATAAATTATGGTCCTGTCTCACCCCATAAAAAGAGTAAAGAAGGTTTTTACGAGTTAACTGATACAGAATCATTTAACAGCTGTCATGAAGTAAATAAAACAAGTTGTACATCAGTGGGTAGAGTAAGCAACTATTTGTGCAAAAAAGGGGACGTGTGTGTGTGTATGTAACTTGTAACTTGTGGTTATAGCAGCATAGCATGTCTCTGAAAACCCACCCAAGAAATGGTAACGCTGGTTTGTTCCAAGGAGGAGAAAAGAGGGGTGGGAAGGAGACTCTTCTCCACAAACCCTTTGATATATCTTGGATTTCAAGCAATGTAGATATGTTATTCTTCTCAAAAAAAGTTAACTAAAATTTTAATTAAATAAATGGCTACAGTAAACCAGCCAATCAGTCTCTATTTAAAATTACCTACTAGTCAAAATGCTTGAAAACATACATCAACATTAAATTTATAAGAACTTGAGATCAGTAATAAATAAGGACATAAAACCAATGAAATTGCAATTTTGTAAATTTTGAGCAATTTTCTTAGAAAGACAGAATCAAATGGATGGCCTAGTTTCAGGAGAAAAAAACAAAGGCCTATTAAACCTGAATAAAATAGCAGTGGGTCTGACAAGTTGGCAGTTTTATATTTGTCTAATTAGAAAAAAAAATGTATCAAAGGTGGACAGCGAGGTGGTTAGATAAACTGAAAATGTCAGTACAGGAAGATCAGACTTCTGTGATCAAAGACCGGAGGGCAGGCAGGTGAGCTTAAGAAGGCATTTGAGCCATATCAGACTAGTGGCCCAGTGTCACGGTCTGAGTCTCGAGAGTGGAGAGGGTGTACCCACGGCACTTAGAACAGTCCCTGACAAGAGGTGGGTGCCCAGAAAGAACAGAACGCGTGACTGAGGCTGCCCAATGCCCCTCCTGACACCCCTCCCCCTCCTCATGACAACCGGACCACACAGGGCCATCTCTAAGGCCTGGTGTGAGTCTGCCCTCTCTAAACTCCCAACAATCCAGAGACTTGACCATACGCTGAGGTATACAGAAATTTTCCATATTTAATCATGAAAAGCAACGTGGCTGCAAAGGCCACTAGACCATACTATTGACTCTAGAGACCCCAAGTTAGGGGACAAGAACTAGTCTCTGGATGTCCACTGTATCTGTGCCTCACTTAGAACATGAGCTGCTCTGCCTGCTAGCTCTCTTAATCTTCGTGACACCCTAAAAGGCAGAAACGATCATACTCTGCATTTTACTGATGGGGCCTGGCTCCAAAGTCCAAGTTCTCTCCCCTCGAGGAGGCCGTCTGGTGCGGTGACTAGGAATCAGGCTTGGGGCTGGACTGCCTGGGCCGGAATTTTGGCAACACTTATCACTCATGTGACCTTGGGCAGATGACTTAACCTCTCTGCTCCTGGTCTCCTCCCCAGTACATCAAGGATAATAACAGTTCTACCTGACTGGGTTGTTGTGCACATAAAATAACGTAACACATGTAAAGAATTTAGACTGGTGCCCAGCACAGAGGAAGTGATTAGTTCACAATGTTGAAACGGTCTTCATTTACGTCCACCCATTCCTTCATTTGCCTAACGCCTGTCACCAGGGTAGCTACCATGCTGG